GAGAGGGAACCCCCCCCCCCATCGATATTTTTGCAATGGCAGCTCTTATTTTCGAGACTTCGACACTCAACTACTGACCAAGGTGGATGCTTAACAACGTGTTGAGTATTTCGTTTTGCAAACTTGCCGAAATTTGACAAACTTGTTTAGCTCATTGCATCACCCGGAGCTCATTGTCTACCTGGTAGGTAAGATGATCGTTCATCCACATGACTTTCCCTTAGGAAGTGTTGAATCTCCGAAAGTATAAGTTTGTACCTGTAGCTAAGAGGCTAGTGGCTCTAACTCTCTTTGGCTCTGCATAAAAAAGTGCATTCGAGGGGCTTGGAGGACAAGGCGCGTAAGTGCAGCTTTGCTATTTCGAGAAACACGTGTTTGGAGTTTCGAAATCACATGGATCCTTATGGCGGAAAGAAAGTCCAACAAAACTGACTTATTGATGCTTAAAAATTGTAAATTGAGAGCGAATTTTTCACAGAATATGCATTTAGACTAGTTTTACTCGAAATCATTAATACCTCAATTTTTTCCAAAGCTGGACTCGTGCGCTTAGTCCTCCAAGCCCCTCAATGCTTCGTTCGCCACCACCTTCTTTATTTTCTTTGTATGACAACTAATTGGATTACATTTTGCAATAAGGAACCACTATTTCTGGCCCATTGTAGAAACAACATACATGCCATTGGTTTCCCTATGCAGATATGTGCTTTTATGGGAGAGCCAAAGATAGTGGTTCCTTATTGCAAAATGTAATCCAATGTACACTGGAAACAAATTTCGGCCGTGGGAGCCGTACTGCTGGGCTGTATAGACATGCCGTCCGCGTTCCGGGCTCAGAGGCCGAAAGTTCCGGGCGTAGCACCCGGAGCAATCGAAGCCACGGCGCTAGCACCCGGAACTTCCAGCCTCCGAGCCCGGAACGGACGGTATTGCTATATAGCCGGTAACTTTTTCTTTTCAATATAAGAGGATTTAGGAAAGGCGTCCCTTCCTGGGAAAACTCGTGGCGGAATTAAAAAGTGGAAGAGGCGGTAGCTCTGGCGGCTCAGCTGGAACCTGCATTCCGGCTCCGGGTACCGGGGAACCAGGTGCGTCGCGAGGAGGGGGGGCGGGGGTCGGCATGCAGGTTGGCGATTTGCATGGCGATGGGAGGGAAGCGGGAGCCGGTTCTGGGTTGGCGCGGCGGCGGCGGCGGCTCGGCGCGGTGCGTTATTGATCGGGCGTGGGGCGCGCGGCGGCGGCGGCTCGGGGTGCTCGACGGGCGACGGCGCGGCCGCGGCAGTGGAGGCTCGGGCGCGCGCCTCGAAGCAAGTCTCTTCCTCTCTCGGTCCTCCGCCCGTCGGCTCGCGTGGCCGCCGCCTCGCCTAACCTCGTCTCGTCGCGCTCACCCAGGCCCAGCCTGTCCCACCTCCGGTTCCCCCGCCTTTTCCGCTCCCCCCAAAGTTCACCCCTATCCTAAAATTCCACCTCGGAACCATTATCCCCCCCACAATTTTTCCTGTCTTTTTCTCGCAGACTTCATATCTGACCCGCCTCCAGGACGGACTCGACATTTTCCAGTTCTCGATGTGAGGAAGTTGCCTCGGGGGATTTTTTTTCAGTTGACCTAACTTCTGTTCTCGGGAATCGGGGAACCGGATTTATCTCGTGTACCCGTGGAAAAGTTCACTTTTTTTCGTTGTGAAGTGGTTCGAGGGAGATATCTCCGGTGCGACTGCATCTGTTCGAAAATTGTTTTTGGTGGTGACAAATTTGGACAACTTTCTCCGCTCTGTCTTCCTCGCGTTAAGCTCATTGCGATTAGTGCGTAGCGTTCCCTTTTTCGGACGGATTCGCGAGGCGGTGTCTCCGTCTCGCTGCATCGATACTCTCGCGAATTTCCGGCCGGTGAAATTTGACACGATTCTGACGGGTTTTTTGGTGTACAAATGAGTGATTCCCCGCGATTTGCTCCTAGGAACACCCACGACTAGTTCGAAATCTGTGTCTTTCCACTTTCTCCCTGGAAATCGCTCCTCAATCAGAACGAAAGCCGAAAGTGATCGACTTCCATCCACTTCTACCGCCAGTGCTTTCAGCGTACAGTGTGTTAGATCTATCCGACCAAGTTGAAATGTTCTGAGCTGTGACAATTTTTCGCGCGGATTGTAAATGTAAAAATTGGCGGTGTCAACTAAAATTGTCCTCTCTGAACGTAACCGTGAAGAGCGTAGAATCGAGGCGTATTTATTTTGACTGAACCTCGGACGAGAAGTAAACATTGAGGCGGTAGAATGAGCGAGGACGGATAAGACTCTGGGGGTTTTGAGAAATTTGGGGGTGTGGATGGTGGATTGAGCTGTGCTCGTTGTGCCGTGCGGCGTCGTATGGAGCGGGAGCGTGTGTGCGTGTAAGCTCTGTGGGTGCGCGGAGTGGTGTGCGTGCGTGGTTGCGTGCGGAGGTGGTAGCGTGGTAGCGGGAGCGAGGCAGCGGGACGATGCAGGAGCAGTGCAGCGGGCTCTGCTCGGCGCTGTCGCAGCTCTTCCGGCGGCTCATGTGCCTGGCCACCTCCCGTCGGGGCAGCACCGAGTCCGAGTACCAGCAGCTCGATCACGTGAGTTCCCGCACACATAACCTCAATTTCCATACCCAGACACAGTCTTCGAAACTCGTCACCGAGTTTCAGGAGCCATGTGGCCCATCAGCCTCGATTTTTAGGGGCCATTCATGATTTTTTGGCGGCCAAATTTACTTTTTCCCCATATATCCCGGCGCTTTTACTGGAGATTTAGGTGCAAGATGTTTTAGTTAAAGAATCTGCCGGCTGTAACCTGTAACTCTCAAAAAATCTTCAAAAAGGAAAACTAAGGTTTTTTTTTNGGGGGGAGGGGGCAATTTTTAGGGGCCACGTTGGCGCAGAGCCTCCATTTTTTAGGTGCCATAACTGATTTCTTAAGCGTCCAGCCCACTTACAAACTGGGGCTCTCAAACTGGCACCGATTCTTCTATTTCTCAGCCATTTCTGCAGGGAATTCCTTGAAAATTTCAAGATCTGATCTGTGATGTATCTCGAACATATCGGTTACCTTCAAATATCGTCGGGCCGACGATCTGTGAAAGGCAACAGTCAACAGCTCCATCGATGAGCCTCTTTGAAGCCCCTAGTTTTTAGGTGGGCTGGACGCTTTAGGCGCATTTGGTGCTTTGGCGCCTGTGAGTTCCGAACACTGCCCAGGCATGCATGCATCCAGCCTAAGATAGTACACAGGGTGGAGTATCTGTGAGAAAGTATGGGCATGTCGGTGATTTTCGAGGTTAGATCATAAAGCGTTTAGGGCCCAAAAAAGCGAGCAACCTATCAACTACAATTATCCAGGATGGTTTATTATCACAATTGCCACGACCCGTTGTGTGGACAGCACGTATTTGACTCAGTTTTTGCATAAATTTACCCACTTTTTTAGAGAGGACGCTCATTTATGAACATTTTTGGCCAGTTTGAGGTTGATATCAGAATCCCAAAGTTGGCAGCGGTAGTTGTCTAGAGTTTTTGTGTTAGAAGGTTGGCTGCCTTTTTTTGCCCTAAAAGCACCTAGTTTTGACGTGCTCATACTCTTTTTCGCACAAATGCTCTATTTTCATACCCAGGCACCCAGTTAGAGACAATATTTAGGGTGTCTCAATGTCGAACACGAATTATCTCAAAATCGAATCTTGAGATCAAAATAAAAATCTTTTGTTCTTTAGTGTTTCCCCCAAAATCCCCGCCCCCTTCAAGAATCCAATCTCTCCCAAAGCCCCTGCTCAACGTGAATTAGCGCGAAGTTTTCATTTTACAAATTTATTCAGTTAACTTCGTCTCTTCAGCTGGCTGATTATTGAAATTAATGGTTGAAGCAACAGACGGAGAAAAGGACAAGAAAAATGGAGCAATCGTATCGGTTGAAACGAGTGGTTAGTATACAGGATGACCCAAAAGTACCGGATCTCTAGGTCCAGGCGCTATCCCAGTAATTTTCGAAAAAATTGTGATAGACTTGAAATTTTGTGAGTGCTCTTAGGTCTAAGGAAGCGACTCTTAGGATCCCCCATTTTAGATGGACCCCTTCGAAAAAGAGCAAGATCCCTGAGGTTCAATAATATAGAAATCATTCAAAGAATGCAAAACCGTGTACTGAGAGAAAGTGTAGGTGCACGATGGTATGAGAGAAACAAAGACATACATAGAGATCTAGGCATGGAGACGGTGGCCCAACATATTAATAAATTAGCCATCAATTACGAAAAACGTCTCCATAGCCATCCAAATACTGACGCACTCCCGCTGTTAGATAACACCACAGAAACAAGACGCCTCAAGAGTCAAGAGGGTGAAGCCCTGGGAGCTGGCGAACCCCCAGGTCTGAACCAATAGGTATAAGACAAAACAAAACAACATATTATAAATTATTTATACTACTCCGTTATTTGCAATATCCACTTTATTTTTAAATTTAGTTACACTGAAAAAAATGAGTTAGCGTCAGATGACTAAAAATGGTTTCTATACACTAACTCAAATTGTGTGATTTGGACACACATGATTTTTGGTTTCTGTACACTAACCACTATTAGTGCTGGAAACTAATTCCGCTACTCTAATTCGCATTCGGTAGGGTTGGGTCAACCTAACCTCAAAACTGAGAGAGGAGAAAACGGCTTAGCGAATGATAACTGGACAATACTTTCAGGAAAAGAAGATTTCTTAAAAGATGAGAGGTAAAAATCAACTGACCGGTTCCAAATGAACGACAGAGGAAATGAATATCCCATAGGTATGTGCAAGTAGACAGAATTATCCTTTAAAGAGACACACACTCACACATGAAACGGTAGCGAATGTTCACACTGAATAAACATATCTCGTCCGAACACTTGAGATATTCTTTTGAAATTACGGGAGAACACGAACTATAGAAGTAAGCAGTAAGTTCACAGATTTTCGTAAAATATAAACTGAACGCGGAACGCTTTAATCGCAATTTAATACAGAAGATTGACGACTCCAACGAATATCATGCTTGTTTACGTTTTGAATCGAACAGACGATTTCTAACCTTAACAGGTTTATTTATGTTGCTTTCGAACGTTTTCAAGAAAGTGAGGACACTATAAATCATACCAGGAGTATTTACATTGTCAAACGAGCCCGAAATTTCACATTTTAATTGATTTTCACGAGCTGTCGCGATTGAGGCTGTTGTACCGACGCCACATTTTCGAAACTAAATAAATGTAACGGACAATGTGGCAGTTAGTGTTGAGGGCGAATTAGTTTGACCCGAAGGTGAATTTGTCTTACCACAGCGCTAATTTTACAGCTAGTGCTGTTTTCCAATTCTGGTTCGCGCTCTAGTAAAGTCAAGTCAGCGTATGAAGCGAATTGATTGGTGCTTCAGTACAATAAATTAGTTCTGAAGCCTAATTTTGATTCTACTTGGCGAGAACTTACCAAATTAGTTCTCAACGCTAACTACTTTTTTTTCAGTGTACAATGTGTAAAATTCTAATGTGTAGAAGTTTGCAATAAATGCTTAGTAATAAATAATAATAATAATTAAAAAAACCCTGAGGTTTACAGGGGTGATTGCGAGACTGTAGGATCACCCTGTAGATTAAGCGGGAAAATGAGGGACTGACTGTAGGGTCTCTCGTGAGATGCCGTCTCACCTCATTTGTCCATTAATTGGAACCACCCAGTTCAACCTATATGATTCCTCAATTTCCCCTGTTGTCTTCTTTGTCTATTGCCTTATCTATCAATTTCAATAATCAGTCCGCAGTGGAAGAACCCCATTGAAAACGTTGACTCCCGTATACTAACATCAATTGAAAGCCATTCATAATGTGAGGCGTCTACGAATCGCTCACCCTTCTTGCCGCGGCTAGGGCTATCATCGGACGTGTGTCATGATGAATTGATAAGTCGGAGGATCGAAACCTTTATAAACGCTAAAGTGGCGCAAAAATTGGAAGGGAAATCGAGGCAGGCGAACAGGAAGGAGGTGTCGCTGAAAGGAAGTGAGTCGTTAAAGCGATGATACCTGTTGTTTCCGTACCAACACACTAGTGTTGGCCAACGTCTCTACACCTTCCCTGCAATCGATACGTATTGCACTCGGTGAAATTAGTTCCTTTCCAACGTCCATACCAACAGTGGCGTGGCGTGCTTTTCGATATATCGATTCATCTGTCATTTAAACGTATGGAGAAGGATCGATAAACAGGGTGTTTGCGAGGAACACCTTAAGGATCGATTCTTCAGCATAGCTTCAAATGGGGAAATATCGATGATGGAATCATTCATGCTTCGCCACTGCTTACCAACCCATACGCGCGATAAAGTTTACACAGGTTTCAAAAGGGAATAAGGATATCGAGGAAATGTTGATTTAGTGATCGGCGGGAATAATTTAGCCGTGGTCGCGTCGCTTCCACCCGTCTCACCCTCCTGTACGTCTGCGACTTCTGCACCCTTGTTTTCTTTACAGTCTCTTCCGAGCCCGATTGTCCAAATGGCGTTCTTGCGTGCTGCAGGGATTTGCCATTCGTTTATCTTCTTGACGTGTGAAATTCTGCGACCAAGCGGATGGTGCTTTTGGTTGTCTCTAAAAACAACACTCAAGCTGAGGAAAAGCCGGCAGGTTAAGGCTGCAACGGAGGAAATCCTCTACCCTTCATGAAAATAGGGTGTCTAGCGACCGGAAAAACCAGGAAAAGGGGGGAGTAAGTGGTCGCTCGTAAGCAACGTAACGCTTAAATTCGGATTTTTGGACCCTTGTTTTCTTTACAGTCTAATAGATCCCTATTCTTAAACTTATGAAAACCAAATGCGCAACGTTTGCCTCCAGCGTCATTCCCCATAGAGTGTCATGTATTTTATGAACGCAAACTTCGCAGTTTTCCTTTTTGCAAAATTTTTTTAAGGTGTTTCCCTTCGGTGACTTGGAACTATGAACTATACATTTACGGATGCAAGCTAAAATAGTTTTTACTTTTTTCTTTGAAAAGAGCGTGGTGGGAAAAAAAATTTGCGGCCAAAACAGAAAACGGGTAGGGTAATTGGCGATACCTAACTTTCTTGCATTCTGTTCCTGCCGGTTTACGGTTGAGACGCAAACTGGAATATGTTAAAAAGTTTAGACATAGGGGGAAAAACCGATCTAAAAATGCGGTCCGAATGCTGTAAGTAACAGGAAAGTAGAGTAGTGCTGAATCCATACTATCCTGCTGCGTGGAAATCATCCAATGCTAATTTTTGGGCTTTATTTTCCTGCAGAATTGCGCTGACCCAGCCCAACTCCGGTGTTAGTAATTAACTATTTTTGATATCTTGGGTTAAACTTTTTGGTTAGATAGATAATTTTAATCTCACTTTTGTCAGGTTATTCCTATTTCCTAAGTTTTTGGTTAGATAAATAATTTTAATCTCACTCTGGTCAGTTTATTCCTATTTGCAGATATTTCCATTTTTCATATTACCATTCTGTTTATTAAAAAGGTTAAGTAACGCCAATTGATCCATACGTTTTGTAGCTCCGACGCAAACGGTCCATTCCGCGGGTGCTCAAATTG